TTTTTTTTTTTTTTTTTTTTTTTGCCTGCTTGTTTTGGATCAATGAATATATTCTCTTCTTAGTAATTATTCTTACTTTCTTTGTCAACAGGCCACCAAGCAGTTTCTCGAAGAGATTAACAAGTGGACTGTTCAGTACAACGTTTCCCCGCTCTCCTGGAATGTGGCTGTCAAGTTCCTCATGGCCAGGAAATTTGATGTGCTCCGGGCCATTGAGCTGTTCCACTCTTACAGGGTACGGGGCTTGGGTGGATAGCCTGTGGTGCTGGGTTTCTCTTGCTCTGCCAGAAAAAGTGGATTTGTGTCCAGGGACCTTGGGGATAGCTGAGTCTGGAAGCAGCTACTGGAAACCCCACTTTTATGCCCTGAATTGGACTAGAGACTCAGAAGAAGCCTGACATTGGCCTGGGGCTACCACACTTTGCTGGAGTTTCTCTTTGCTGGCTCCCAGGCATCTGCTCTGCTGATTCTGGGATTGTTTTTTTAAAAGGGGGCTCAGTTTGAAAATCTCATTCGTAGCCTTTCATTCTGTATTTATTTATATTTGATTTCTTAGTTGGCAGCATTATTGGAAAGACACTGGCTGGGCGTGGTGGCTCACACCTGCAATCCCAGCACTTAGGAGGCTGAGACAGGAAGATTGCCATGAGTTTGAGGCCAGCCTAGGCATCCTGGACTTCATAGAAACACCCTTTTTCCAAAACAAAACAAACAAAAAACACAACAGAAAAAAACCAATGTTATATCACTTTGGGGGTCAAGAAATCCTGAAGAGATATAAAATCTTCATAAATAAAAAATGGGGATGATAACTATTGGAATAAGCTTAGGACTCAGGCTCACTTCTGCCTACCTTGTGGGTTAGCTCATTCAGTATTCATTTATTTATTTAGCACATGTTTATTTTACAGCTACTATGTTCCAGGTGCATAGAAGGAGAGAGTAAATAGGTATAGTAAATAGGTATAGTATTGCTGTAAAGCAGCTCTGGTCTGTAGTTAAGTCAAGGAAGACTTCCTATAGGAAGTTACTTTTAAACCAAGAGTTGAGGAGTGGAAAGGACCTCTGCTGGCAGTCTGCAGAGAGAACATGAGCACAAAAAGGCCCAGGGGAAAGTATGAAATTCAGCTGAGCCAGAATGCAGAGCAGAAGCTGGGGGAATGGGGAAAGGTTGCCAAGTAGAGACAGCCAAGTCAGAGAGTAGCTGCTTTTTCTGAAGGGCAGAGACTGTGAAGACACTCGCTGTGAAGTCAAGTGGTCACCTCTGCATTCAGTGCAGATTTCTCCACTGGTTTGCAGAATACATGAGAAGGACTGTGCTGGAGACAGACCAGCAGGAAGACCACTGTACTTACAGGGAGATGATGGCAGTGCTGTTAAGCGCAGTGTCAGGAGACGGGGAGATGTGGACAGAGCTCTAGAAGTAGTGCAGGTAGGACAGGTTGCTGAAACTGCTGCTTGAGGGAAGAGGGGTCAAGGATTCCAGAGTCTGACTTGGGTGGGTGCCATCACTTTCCTTGTTGCTGAGACAAAATACCCAATCTATAAGTTAAAGGAATGCTCACAGCTTCACTCCTCAGTTGGAAGGCACAGATGCAGAAATGGTATTGTGGGAAGGTCAGCTGTATAGGAGAGCTGCTCACCATGGGGCATATAGGAAGCAGAGAGAGAGGGAGGGCTGGGGAGGGAGATCCACTGCTCCAGGCCATGCCTCCCAGCAGACCTTCAGCTCTGGACTCATGGGAAGTTGATCTAATGAATGCAGTGCCTCCTGAGCCAGTCCCCTTCCACTAATCCGATGCTGAGCATGTGAGGCTCTGGGGGATACTGTAGACCCCACTATGACAGGGTGAATGGCAGCAGTGCTGACTGATGAGAAAACACCTAAGTGTGTAGAGAGGAGGCAGTAGTTTAGTTTGAAGCGTCTTTGGGATACCCAAATAGCCATGTCCTCAAAGCAGCAGGAATATCAGTCTAGGGTTCAGAAAAGAACTCTGGTCTAGCTTGGTGTGGTGGTATACATACATAATCCAGTCCTAGCATTCTGGGAGGCTGAGGCAGGAGGATTGCAGCCTGGTAGTTTACCATCTTGACAAAACTCTTATCAAAATAAAAGGACTGGGGGTATAGCTCAAAGCAAAGGCCTTGGTTTCAATTTCCAGCATCATAAAGAGGAGAAAAAAGCCTCTAGAATGGAAATAGAGATCCGGGTATGCTGAAAGTAGAACTGGACACTGGAGCCATAGGAAGGATGGCTGTTGTCTGTGAGGGTGTGAGGAACAAAAGATGTATAGGGTTCAGTGCTCACCACAGACTTTGTGCTTTTTTGGGCTCAATATCATCTGAAAATCGGATTAAAATGCTTGGTTAGGGCCTGCTCTCTCCTGTCATTCACCACTTATGTAGCCCTGGGTGCTGCCTCACCTCTGAAGGCACTTAAATTTGATTCTAGGGATGCTCAGAGAAGATGATAAGCAAAGACCTGATGTGTTTTATTCACCAGGTACTTGCTTGGCTCAATCTCTGGCGTATAATAACTCTGTAAATATTTGCAGAATGAATTTCTTTCTTTGCAGAAAAAAAATGCCCATGAAGGGAACGTGGGAGTAGACATAATAAGAGAGGTGTTTTGCTTTGTTTCTTGTCATGATGTACAGAGTAGGAGATGGCAAGTGTTTGCAGAGGAAGATAATATGCCTGGTCAAGGTTGTCATGTAGGGTGAAAACTGGAAGTGTTCACTGGATCAGTATCATGAAGTTCCTGCCTGTAGCAGGAACTTTGAGCATCATGACTGGATTGGAAGGAAATCAGATGTCAGTAGGTTGAGTACAAGGGAGCTGGGAGCAAGTGTGGAGCACCCAGTGCAGAGGTGAGCAGAAGGAAGTCACAGGGTTACAGTTGGACGGGAGATCGGTAGAAGGAGCTCCTATAAGATGGAAGCCTCCGCTGGGTGTTGTGTTGTGTTTTGTTTTGTTTTTGAGACAGGGTCTTGCTATGTAGTTCAGGCTGGCCTTGAATTTGTGAAAATCCTCCTGCCTTAGCTTCCTGAGTGCTGGGATTGTAGATGTGCCCAGCTTCTAGATAGGAATTCTGATGACACTTAGTTGACATGGAAGGAGGTTCAAAAGGAATTCCCAGTTGAGTTGACTTCAGCTGTGAACTCTTACTTATTGCTGAGGTTTGGGGTTCACATAGGCTAGCCTGGATATGCAGTATTTTTATATTACTTCATCTTGCTGTGCTTCCTTTTTAGGAGACACGAAGGAAGGAAGGCATTGTGAAGCTGAAACCTCATGAGGAACCTCTCCGTTCTGAGATCCTGAGTGGGAAGTTCACCATCCTGGTGAGTCTTCATTGGACCCATCTTGTTATGCCTTATTCCTTCCTTGTTGCAGGAACTTTTGGAGTGGTTATCCTGCTTGGATGTTTTTCTTGAGTACCTTAGCCACATCAGGAGCAGACATGAAGTAGCCGTGCAGCTTGGTGCAGAATTGTTCTAGTAATAACTGAATTACCCCTAACTGTAGTTTCTAGAATTATGGAGAATCTGTTGTGTGGTAGACTCACAGCATTTCCTTATTTATCCAGGAAGGTTAGTCAGGGCTTTGGGGTTGGTATCCAGTGGGCTAAGACACATTCTGTCCTGTTTAATGACAGTCCATTATTAGGACCTCTGGGCCTCTAAGGTAAGCAGCAATGTGGGGACCAGGACCCTGTTGTATAATTCTGTCTTGCTGCTATTTTTCCATCCTGCCTGAGATACTAGTTACAAAGCCAGTGCAGAACCATCCTTTGATTGCTCTGCAGCTTAAGGGCCAAGAAAAAAATTTTTTTTTCTTACAACAAGAATATAATCCAGTGGACACTGAGAAAAATAGGCCTGGGATGATCCTAACCTTTTTCCCTTTCTGGGAAGAAGCAGATCCAGGAAGCATTGCCAGCATCCTTCTTTTCATGCTGCAAGTGTTCTGCCAGGGTAGAAGCCTTAGTAATGGTTGCATTTTCCCATTTGACTTTTGAATATTTCCTGCTTTCTTTGCTATAGAACGTCCGGGATCCCACAGGAGCCTCCATCGCCCTCTTCACTGCCAGACTGCACAATCCCCACAAGTCGGTCCAACACGTGGTCCTCCAGGCCCTGTTTTACTTGCTGGACAGGGCTGTTGATAGGTGAGCACTGTCCTTATCTTACTGGTTGCCCACCTCCAGATAGGAAAGTGACAGTTTTTGACATGATTAAATTCCACATTGCCTTCTCCCTGCCTGAGGATGCACCCTGGGCTATGCTATCAGTAGGAAGCAGCCCGTGCTGGGGCATGGTGTGTTTCAAGGTGCTGTCAGGATGTTGGTCATTCTGTCTTTATCACCTCAGCTCTATTTCAGGGTAACAGAAGCTGCTGGTTGTCAGCAGTTGGCAGTGCATTGAGAATTACTTATTGGGAAAATGGGAGGAGGAAATGACCAGTGCTGGTTCTTTTTGCTGCTATCAGTAATCTCTCGAGCCAGGTGCTGTAACACACGCCTGTATTTCCAGTACTGGGAGGCTAAGGCAGGAGGATCACCATAAATTCAAGGCCAATTTGGACTATATAGCAAGACCCTTTCTCAAACAAACAAATATACAAAGAGGCACACATATACCACACACACAAAACCTCTGGGCACCAAGTGTAGTGGGACACATCTGCAATGCTAGCTGCTTGGGGAACTGAAGCAGGGTCAGAAGTTCAAGGGCAGCCTGGACAATTTAATGAGACCCTATCTCCAAAAAAAACAATAGTGTGTTGGGCGTGGTGGCGCATGCCTGTAATCCCAGCACTCAGGAGGCTGAGGCAGGAGGATCGCTGTGAGTTCGAGACCAGCCTGGACTACATAGTGAGTTCCAGGTCAGTCTCAACTACTATAGTGAGACCCTGTCTCAAAACAAAACAAAACAAAAGTGGGGGCTGGTGATGTAGCACAGTGGTAGAGCATTTTTGTGGCAGGTACAAGGCCCTGGATTCAATCCTGAGCATGGGGGCGGATCTCTCTGGGGCCTCAGTTTCTTTGTCTGAAAATAGGAATATTGCCATTTAGCACAGAGGATTTTAAGAGTTATCATTCAGGGAACACACCCAAAACAGAAAGTTAATAAGCAAAAGCATATTTTTTTTTTTTGGTACTGGGGATTGAACTTGGGTCCTTGCTCTTGTGAGGCAGGTGGCGAAACCACTGAGCTACATCCCAGGCCCTCTTGCTGTGTAATTTAAGTTGGCCTTAAATTCAGTGGGTGGCCCAGGCTGGCTTTGAAATCAGTGATCCTCCTGCCTCAGCCTCCTGAGTGCTGTGATTATAGGCATGTACCACCAGGCCCAGCTTTGAAAAGGCATTTTTATGCTAATAACAGGCATAAGCAAAAAGAACTAGTCTGTCATGTCCTGTCTCTCCAGGTTAGACAACATTACAATCTATAGATTAAAAAAAACTGAAGGCCTACGGTGACTTTGTTTCTGGTGGTAGCACAACTGATGTTTGTCCTTTTCCAGCCATCACATGTGTAGCACCCAGGCCTGAGTCCTGTTAGCTGTGCTCTTCCCAGAGCTGTTGTGCTGTGCTATGTGCCTTCCTGCTATACCTCCTCTTTCCATGGTGCTGCTCTTGCCAGTATGTGACAGTTCTGGCATCTCCACTGGTCCTTTGGGTTTGAAGGCTGCACTGAGAGCTGAGATCCAGAGCTCTGGAGCCAGCAAGGGCTCTGTTCAGACTGCAGACTTTCAAGCCAAACATAGCCTAGTGAGGTGGGCCTCTGCCTTGGTTACGTCACTGAGTAGCACTTAGGTTCTGCTCTTGGTGCTCAACTGGAGAGAGAGCCACACCCCTCGCACCGCATTATTCTGAAAGAAGAAAGTTGCCAAAGGGTGGGAGGAGAGCTCAGTGATAGAGAGCATTTGCCTAACATGTGCAAGGCCCTGGGTTCAATCCCCAGCACTGTCAATAAATAAATTAAAATTTAAAAAAGAAGTTGCAGCTGTGTGTGTTTGGTGTAGTGTTGTACCTGCCTGTAATAGCCCTCTGGGGAGGCTGAGGTAGGAGGATTGCAAGTTCAAGTGCAGCCTGGGCATAATATTTTGCGACCTGGTCTCAAAAGTAAAAACATTTAAGAGGCACGGCTGGCGCTGGGTATGTAGCTCACTGTGAAGGCCTTGGGCTCAATTCCTGGTAATAATAAAGAAGTGGAAAAATGGAGTTGCTAAGGAGAATCTCAGTGGCCCTGTGCTCCCCATGTAGAAGCGTGGAATTTCTCAGTCCTCTTTCCTGTGACTGTTTGTTAGGTCTACTTTCCAGAATAAGGATACTTTGACATGCTCTTTTATCTTAGAATGAATGAAAGCCTTTTCCCCTCAGAAACCCAGTATTAAGCTTCTTCCTCAGAAGGCTTAGGGAATGGGAACTCTCATGAAAATGTGGCCAGATCTTACTCCTTCCAGTACGAGTCTGGATACCACAGGAAGTCCACAGGCAGATATAATACTAATGTCACAGCTGCTTATTATCTAGAAGAGGCAGATAATATATGCTGAATAAATGTGACACATTTTTCCCAAGCAAAATTTCTCCTTAGTAAATAAAAAAATTTCCATTTCCCTTGTTTTCTTGGACCAGAATGGTCTGTTTTCTCCCTGCCTCTTCAGTGAATCCTGCCTTGGCCTTAAGGCCCAACTTGCTTGCTCACTGGTTTCTTCATCACTGCAACTTGTCATAGATAAAATTCTTTGGGTTTTTTGATACAGGATTTCACTGTGTAGTTGAGACTGACCTGGAACTCACTATGTAGCCCAGGCTGGTCTCGAACTCACAGTGATCCTCCTGCCTCAGCCTCCTGAGTGCTGGGATTACAGGAGTGCACCACCACACCTGGCTATAAATAAAATTCTTTACTTTGATCTTAATAGCAGTTATTACCAATGCTTATCTGTTCTTTTTAAAGTTTTTATTTTGAGACAGGGCTTTGCTAAGTCACAAAGTTGCCTAGACTGGGCTTAAATTTGTAATCCTCCTGCCTCAGCCTCCCAGAGCTCTGAGATTATAAGTGTACACCCTGTTCCTTTGCTGCCATTACCAATAACTATATGCTCAGTTATTCATGGCATTGTGACATCAGTAATGTTATACTAATATTAGATTTTTTTTGGTTTTATATTTTGAGAGAGGGTCTCCTTAAGCTGGGCTTGAACTCAGTATTTAGCCTAGGTGCACCTTGAACTTGCAGCATTCCTCCTGCCTCAGCCTCCTGAGTGCTACTATTACACACTTATACCACCATGCTTAGCTAGAATTAGAGATTTTTTTGTGTTACCTTGTAGTTTTTTTTGTTTGTTTGTTTTTGTTTTTGTTTTTTGGTACCAAGGATTGAACTTGGGACCTTGTGCTTGCAAAGCAGGCGGTAAGAACCACTGAGCTAAATCCCCAGCCCTAGAATTAGAGATTTTTTAATATGTTATTTCTTGGGTGGGTCCTTCTGTCTTGGATTTTGTTATAAGGATGAAATGAGGAAAAAAAAAAACCCTGGACATGATGGTGCATACCCGTAATCCTAGCTCTCAGGATGATGAGGCAGGACTATGGTAAGTTTGAGGTCAGCCTAAGCTATGTAGTGAGTTCAAGGCCTCCTGATGCTAGTGAGTTTAAAGCCAGTCTGGACTAGATAGCATGACACTATCTCAAACAAACAAACGTAAGCCAGTGATGGTGTGCATGTCTATAATCACAGCTAATTGGGAAGCTGAGGCAGGAAGATTTTAAATTTGAAGCCTGCCTGGACAACTTACTGAGACCTGAAAAAAAAATAAAAAGAAATGGGATATATCTCAGTGGTAGATTGGGTTTGATCCCCAGCACCCCTCTCCCACTTCCCACACAACGAATATGTTATAGAAATTTGTTTGGTAGTTCTAAATAGGTGTGAAAATTGTCACTGCCTATGAGTAGGCCATTCAAATAATTTCTTCCTCATAATTTTCCAGGGTTGTAAGTCAAAAAGCAAGTAAGGATCTGCATTGCTTTCAATAAAAAATTTGCAATGGCCGGGCATGGTGGCGCATGCCTCAAATCCTAGCACTCAGGAGGCTGAGGCAGGAGGAATGCTGTGAGTTTGAGACCAGCTTGGGCTACATAGTGAGTTTCAGGTCAGTCTCAACTACATAGTGAGACCCTGTCTCAAAAAACAAACAAACAAACAAACAAAAAGCAATGAATAAATGTTTGTGTGTTTTTATTGAATTTATTGGTACATTCTAGGTGTACAGTACAGTTACATTCATTACTGGGATCTTGTACCTTTACATGACAGGTCTTGGTTCTCAAAATAAATGTTTTCATTCAATGATTGCTTTACAGTTTTGAGACACAGAGGAATGGCCTGGTGTTCATCTATGACATGTGTGGTTCTAATTATGCCAACTTTGAGCTGGATCTTGGCAAGAAAGTCCTCAACCTGCTGAAGGTAAGGCCAGGGAGGATGCTCTCCACTCTCCTTCAATTGTGAGGGTTCTTCCTTTTTATTCTTTGGGAGAAGACTGAGAAATGATGTAAACTTCAGACATTTTGTTCAGTTTAAAAGTGAAATCTCCCTGAACTAATTTAATCATATTACCACTGTTGGCAGTGCACATTGTACAATACATACGGAAGAGGAGAGGATCACTGGTTGTGAGGTCTGTGCAGATTCAGCTTGGAAGACAGGGCCCAAGTCTTTTCCAAAGTGATCATACCCACTTGGCGTGAGCGAGAATTTCCATTGACCCACATCTTCTCCAACTCTTAGTAATGTCAGGCTTCTTCATGATTTCTCCATCAAATGAATATAAAATGGTACTTTGTGGTGCAGACATTCCTTGTTTAACAGCCACTCATTTAATGACTATTCAGACTTAGGACTGAGGTGTGCTCTTTAGACTTAACTTGTCCTTTTTTTTTTTTTTTTTATTCTCTACATCTTGTTGATAGAGCCTCACTCTTTTTATGTACGTTACACTTTGTTTATATAGTACTGTACAGTACAGTACTATAGTTTTATGTTGTTATACATTATAGTACTGCATGTAAGAGTAATGTATATAACAGCAAAGTCATCAAATTGGAGTTTCCTTTGTTCTGAATATAGTAATGTGCATACTGTATACAATGTCTCATTTAGCCACTGATTTAATTAATGACCTAATCAAGATCTGAACTTGGTCATTAAAGGGGGAAAGTCTGTACAAACACTGTGAGATTAAGTATCTCCACATATTTATTAGCTGTGCATGCTTTCTTCTGTGAATGCCTGTTTATAGTTTGTTAATTTATGGATTAATAGATTAGTAGTTTTTTTGTTTTTCTTTTTTTGGAACAGATCTTGCTGTGCAAGTTAGGCTGGCCTCAAACTTGAAATCCTCTTGCTTCAGCCTCGATAGGCATGCACCATCATACCCGGCTTTAGTGTTTTGTTTTGTTTTTTTTTTTAATATATTATTCACACTAATTTATTGAGATAAATAGATAATACACATGTATGCAATATACCATCTTTAAGTTTGTAGCTTACTTTTTACCTTTTTCATTCTTCTTTTTTGGGATGGGGACTCACTTTGTTGCCCAAGCTTGTCTTTTTCATATTTTATAAAGTCTTTTTGACAGAAGTTTTAAATTTTATCGGTTAAATGGACCAATATTTATTTTCTTGTTAGTATATTTTGTATCTTAAGTCCTTCCTACCTCCAAAGTCAGAACAAATATAAAGTGTGAATGAAAAATATAAGGAGTGTTTAAATTTAAATAATTTATTACAGTAAAAGACATTGTCATTAATCCCTCTCAAGTTCCCTCTTTCTGTGAGTATACTTATCCTGCCACTCGTGACACTTTTAGTTTTTTGAGGCAGAATTTGCTGTGTAGTTCAGGCTGGGCTTGAGCTCATTATGTAGTCTAGGCTGGCCTCAAACTAAAAATAATCCTCCCTGCCTCAGCCTTGCAGAATATTGGGATTACAGGTGTGCACCACCATGCACAGCTTTCCAGACTGTTTGTTTTTTTGTTTTTTTTGTTTTTGTTTTTGGCTCTCATTCTTTTTTTTTTCTTTTTTGGGGGCGGGTAATGGGGATGGAACTTGGGACTTTGTGCTTGCGAGGCAGGTAAACCACTGAGCTAAATCCAGGCTCCAGACTGGTTCTTTTTTTTGGTACCGGGGATCGAATTTGGGTCCTTGGGTTTGCAAGGCAGCCCGCGGAACCACTGAGCTAAATCCCCTGTCCCTCCAGACTGGTTTTTGATGTAGCAGTTAAAGGGACTTTGCATATTTAGGTCTGAAATAAATTGCTGCATCTTAAATGACAGATACAGTTTCTCAGACTTCATTGAAGAGGCTGCTGATGTTGTGGATGTTGTGTATTCTCTACAGGGGAATGTGTGAATTCCTCTTTATTTGACTCCATGGGAGCAATTTCTTCTGAGTTAGAATTCCAGTTTACTGCATGGAATCCCACTCCTAAGCAGGGCTGGGATTTTGAGAGCCCCGTCAGTTAGGGTGAACCATCTGTCACCTTTGAGCCTGTATAGACCTGCATATCTCTGTTTTGAAACTCTGCTACTTATATACACCAGATCATATTTATTTATGTAGGCATTTGGTTAATTTGCAATGCTGGGAATTGAGCACAAGGGATTGCATGTGCTAAGCAATGCACCTAGCTCTGAGCTATACCTCCAGCCTAGATTGTTTATCTATTAATTGAATAAATAAATACCCAGAGGAAGAAATGAGTTAAAAAATAAACAGTGCTTACACAGACAAACTAAATGAAAGGTTAAAGAAGTTTCTTTTGTAAGCTGGGCGTGGTGGTGAACGCCGGTAATCCCAGCACTCGGGAGGTTGAGGCAGGAGGATCACTGTGATTTCGAGACCAGCCTGGGCTACTTAGTGAGTTCCAGGTCAGTCTCAACTACATAGTGAGACCCTGTTTCAAAAAACCAGAAAAAAAAGAAGTTTCTTTTATGCTCAGTTTATGCATAATTAATTTTCTTTTGAGTTTAATAAGTAGAGCTGGGCAAAGTGGTGCACACTTTATAATCCAAGCTACTTGAAATGCTAAGGTAGGAGGATTACATGTTCGAGGCCAGGTTGGGCAATTTAGCAAGACTCTGTCTCAAAATAAAATGAAGCAAAAGGCTGGGGCTATACCTTAGTAGTAGAGTGCTTGCCTAGCATGTACAAGGCTTTGGGTTTAATCCCTAGTACTAGAAAAAGTTTTAGTAAGCAGAATTTACTGGGCATAGTGATAGTGTACACCTGTAACCCTATCACTTTGGGAGGCTGATTTGGGAATATTGGGAGTATTGAAAGCTTGGGTCCAGCCAGCCTGGGCAATTTAGCAAGACCCCATCTCCAAAACAAAACAAAACCCTCTGGGGATACAGCTCAGTGTGAAGGTCCTGGATTCAATCCCCAGTAACACACACACCCACACACGCACACACATACACACACCTTTTCTAGGATAGATGCAGGTAGGCTGATGTGTGATATGTGTAGGGTAACTGCTCATGAGAAGAGTTAGCATAGGCTGGGCATGGTGGCACAAACCCGTAATCCCAGCATTTGGGAGTTTGAGGCTAGGGGATTACCCTGAGTTTGAAGCCAGCCTGGACTGCCTAGCAAGTTCAAGAACAGCCTGAACTACCTAGTGAGACCCTGTCTCAAAAAAAACAAAGGAAAAAATGGAAACAAAGTCTTTGTAAATAGGGAGGAGTGGAGGGTTTGAAGGGAGGGTAGGGGAATGGGGAAAAAATAAGAACCAAGATACATCATGTGAAGGTAAAAGTTCCCAATGATGAATGTAACTGTATTTATACCTAAAATGTACCAATAAACTTAATGGAAAAAAAAAAAGTCAGCATAGCTATGGTCAATATGACCTTAACATCATTATTTTTAAAGGTAGATCAGCTTCTAATTTCTTTTAACCATGTTTCCTGTAGCTATCAAGACCTGAATTAGGCTGTAGACTCTCCCTGCTGAGTAAGGTGGGAAGAAGTATAGAAGAAAAAAACCTGGGCTCTCAAAGTCCTTGGTCCAAGGATTAAAATTCTTACCATTCTCCTCACAGGGAGCATTTCCAGCTCGCTTGAAAAAGGTGCTGATTGTGGGTGCGCCCATCTGGTTCCGAGTGCCCTACTCTATCATCAGTCTCCTCCTGAAGGACAAAGTGCGAGAGAGGGTAAGGCAAGCCCGTCTTTGAGCATCCTGTTTCTACTGCTGAAATCCTGGCAGCTACTTTCCTGCCATCGAGAGATCCTCCTAACTTGGTTCCTGGAGCACATTCTGCTACTTTATATGTCCCCTGCTTTCTTTCTTCACTCGTCTGCTGGGCAGACAAGTCCCCAGGTACTGTGATCAGGAGTAGCTCAGTTAGCTGGCTGTCCTTCACAGCACCTTGCACAGGTGGAACTGAGTATGTCTTGGAGGAAATTAAGGGGTGGATAGCGATGGGTTCATAGGCTTTCAGTTGCCCAGGCAAGGGTGTAAAGTATATATTTAGCATACACAAACCCCAGATTTCTAGCTAGCATCATAAAAACCCCAAAAATAAGAACCAAAACCAGCATTTAATACCATTGCATTAGCTGACCTGGCATTAGAATTTGTTCACTTTTAAGTACTGTTCAGTTCCTTTTACCACTAGAGTTTGAAGCGGGATTCCTTCACAGTGTCTTTGCCAGCTTTTATCCTGTCATATTTTCTTAAACAGCTTATTGCTGCCAGTTTTAACAGTACTCTCCCAAATCACTTAAATTTTATTAAATTTCCTGAGTGTTTCAGTACTCAAAAATTATTGTTCAGCCACAAATTCTAGCTATTGTAAGAAAGGGAATACAAAACATTGGCATAATAGTATAAATTACAAAAAATTTGTTTTGAAATATTAGTACCAGAGAGCATTATAATAAGGAATTATGAAGTTAAATGAATACTGCAGGTCTTTCTGGCTGAGGCAATTTGGGTCGCAGAGGGATAAGTGAAGACATTGGTACTGTAGAGGCCACTTAGAGACCTATGACTCAGCAGAAGAGATCTGTCCTAGACAGCTCTGTAAGGGGTTCTTCAAGCACATCTTGCACTTGAATTATGGGACTTGTGAATGCATATCTAAACTCAGATGCATTGAGCACCATATCCTTATCCTGGGCCTGGGAATTAAACCTGGGTTAGACTGTCCTTACCCGGAGGAGCAAAGAGTGCATGGTCCTGAGAGGAACAGGAATACAGGGGTAAGGATGGAGAGAGGACAGAGGACCAAGCTCTGCTGCAGACTAGGGGAGAGTATTGTCTCAGGTCATCAGCAAGGGCTTCCAATAGAGGCAGAGGAGGAGAAGAGGGCTTTCCAAGAAGAAGAAGCATTCCTATTCCACAGAGATTCCAAGGAGAAACCACAAGGCTGTCTGGACCCAGCATGACTGAGTCTAAGCACAGAGCAAAGTGTTATGATTACTTTCTCCTGGCTCCCCTCTGCTGGAGGCCAGCCGTATCTTTCATGTATAGAAACCTCTTTAAACACTCATACCGAGCTGAGTAAAATCTAAATGAACAGGCCAAGAACTGGTTGCCTTAGTATGGTGCTGACAAATAACCATTCCCCATGCATTGTCGGTGTTGGGAGACCAAAATGCCAGCTTGCAATAGTACTGGGCAGCCTCGTTACTAGGGTGAGCTATTGCTCATTATCCCTTTCTTTTGGAAGGTCTGTATCAAGGCCCCTAATTCCAGAAATGAATTTGATAGATGTTCTATGAGTTCAAACTTTTATCTGAGAATTCACAGGATTTTAACCCTAGGCAGATGAATTGCAGTCTGCTTCTTTTTTATACATAGTACAAGGCATGATGATCAAAGTATATAGTGAATGTTTAAATTTGAATTTTAGAAAAGCTTATTACAGTAAAAGCCACATTGTCATTAATCTCCCTTAGGGTACACCCTCTTATTTTAAACCCATTATTTTTGCCACTTTCTGACGCTGTACTGGACATCTTCTTTTGTGAGTGTCTTTAGAAAGTATGATTAAAAAATGCAGTGAATGGAGGCCGGGGATTTAGCTCAGTTGTTCCACCATCTGCTTTGTAAGCACAAGGTCCTGAGTTTGATCCCGAGTACCCCCCATAAAAAAATCCACAAACATATGTAGTGAATATTCCTGCCAAGTGTCATTCAACAGAAAGGCATGCTCGTAAAACCATTACCGTGTGTCTTCATTCACCTTATTCACCTGCTCTAGCACTGTGTGACTTTTGGCTCAGTCTGATGACTGTGAAAGGTCAGCATTTTGTTGTTGTTGTTGTTATTTATTTATTTATTTATTTTGGTTTTTTTTGAGACAGGGTCTCACTATGTAGTTGAGACTGACCTGGAACTCACTATGTAGCCCATGCTGGTCTCCGAACTCACAGCGATCCTCCTGCCTCAGCCTCCCAAGTGCTGGGATTACAGGCGTGAACCACCACACCCGGCTTTTTTATATTTTATTTTTTGGTAGCATTTTGAATCAATTCAAGACATTGAGGCAGCCAGGACAGCAGAACTAAAGATACTCGTATGGAGAACTTCCAGAGCTGCTTCAGAGAATATAAAAAACAATGGAATAAATGTGTTCAAAGCAAGGGGAAGTATTTTGAGAGGGGTTAATAGTAATGTGTCTTTTATTTCAGTAATTCTAAAAAAAAAATTAAACATTCACCACATTTTCTGATAATGCTATGTATATCAAACAAATTTCTTCCATTCTCCAAAACTAGTGCAAGCACATTTGTTCTTCACTATCTGTGTGCCACCTCCCTCCCCCATACTCACATGGTTCTTTCTGGCCTTCCAGATTCAGATATTAAAGACATCTGAGGTTACTCAGCACTTGCCCCGGGAGTGCCTTCCAGAAAACCTGGGTGGGTACGTCAGAATCGACCTTGCCACGTGGAACTTCCAATTCCTGCCCCAGGTGAACGGCCACCCAGATCCCTTCGATGAGATCATCCTGTCCTCCTTCCCTCCTGCCTTAGACTGGGACTCAGTACATGTTCCAGGTCCACACGCCATGACCATCCACGAGCTGGTGGACTATGTTAACACCAGGCAGAAGCGGGGGATTTATGAGGAGTACGAAGACATTCGTAGGGAGAACCCTGTTGGCACTTTTCACTGTTCCATGTAAGTAGGCCAGGTTTGGCCACTGTCGGTCTCCCAGATGTCCCTGGCAGGTGTTCACAGCACCCCCTGCATGTTCTATCCTTGACAGACTCTTCCTCATGTTAGGGAATGGCATGGTAAGTGACAGCTCTCATCCAGAAAGGCTGGGTCCTGTTTTGATACTTGTTGCCATGGCCTTTGCTGTCAATTCTGAAGGTCTTTGGACTCATAAACAGAATCTTTAGGTATTTTCCTGAAATGAAAATATTTAAGAAAAAAGACTCAATGGCTGGGGATTTAGCTCAGTGGCCCCATGCCTACCTTGCAAGGACAAAGTCCTGAGTTCTATACCCAGTACCAAAAAGAAAAATGACTCAAAATGGGCTTCTCTGAATTCCTGGCCTCACTGTGAGCTCTGATCTGTTCAGTTTTTCCCCAGAGCATTACACAATGTTAGAATAAAGTGCTACATCTTGAGAGGACAGCTCATTAAAATAATCTGTGGGCAGAAGAGAGGAGAATTGCTTCTTAGCAATTTAACTTTTGGGTTTTTTGTTTTTTTTTTTGTACCTGGGATCGAACTCAGGACCTTGCACTTGCCAGGCAGGCATGGTACCACTGAGTGAGCTATATCTCTGGCCCTGTTGGGATCTTTCTTCTAACTAAATCCTAGTTCAAAACCATCTGCTAGTCTATAACTCCGATTTATAACTGATCTTTGCTGTTGGCGGTAAGTCATTTTTCTTACCATGTTGCTCTAATTTCTCTTACCATATTTAATCAACTGCAGCAGATATTTCTTCTCTTCAACTAGTGAGCTCTTTGTTGGAAATTAGGGAAGCTCAAGTCACACCTTAGCCAGAAGCCCCTTCCAGGTGACATAATCGTTCCCTTCTCAGTTTTCTTGTATGTAATACATGATTGTGGGAGTCTCAGGTCTGCTCCATGATTTGGAAGCGCCTTGTCCCTCAGGATTCTGTCCAGTATCCTCGGTGTCTGTGAAGAAGGTACAAAGAACAGAGGAAAAAATAATGAGTTAGGAGCCCAAGTTGAGGGCAGTAAGAGAGTGGAGGTGACTGGGACAAAAGCCAATAGGCAGATCAGGAGCACAAAGCAGGGGCTGGGGCATAGAGCTCGGTGGTGGGACTCTGATCTGGCATGTGTGAAGCCCTTGGTTTGATTCCAGGCACTGGTGGGGAGGGGATGCCGAGAAAGAAAGAGTAGGGCCAGGTGCCATGGCACATGCCTGTAGTCCCAGCTGCTTGAGAGGCTGATGCAGCAGGATTGCCAGTGTGAGGCTAGCCTGTAAGACTTAATGAGACCCTGACTCAGAGTTTCAAGAAGGGACTGGAGAAGCAGGCATGGTGGAGTTGCCCCTGGGTTCAAACCTCAGTAATGGTGCGGGGAGGGAAGTGAAAGGGAAAAGATAGTATATATGAAAAAGCGGGGGTGTGCTTTTCTCAAACACAGCTTTGTCCCTTGCTGTCTGCTCAAAACCTCTGTTTATATCAGATGTCTTTCCCAGTCTTGAATGGAGGAAGTGCTAGTACATATTGGCTGTACAGATCAGTGGGTTTCATTTTGGTAGACTTGAACATGCATATAACTAACTAACTTTCTTTTCTTGGAGATGGAATTCAGGACCTTGAGCTTGCAAGACAGATGGCGGCACCACCTAGCTAAATCCCCAATCTGCTTATAACATATTTTAATCACCCCCCCATTATCCCCATTGTCCCTCTCTCCCCCAGTTTTACTCTTTTTTTCAGTGTATATATTTTGGTCATAATCGTTCTGTTACCCACCCTTACATCCCCCACCTTGTTCACTTCCTTTTATGTAGTTAAGTCTCCCCTCTACTTGTCAACTTTTTTAGATTCCACACGTAAAGGAGAACATATGATCTTTGTCTTTTTGAGTCTGTTGTGTTTCATTCTGCACCATGGTCTGTAGATCCATTTTTGACTAAATTTCATTTTTTATGGATGAGTAATATTCCATTGTATATGTATACCACATTTTCTTTTATCCATTCCTATTAATGAGCACCAGGCTGGTTGCATATCCTGGCCGTTGTGAATTAACTGCTGCAATAGATGTGAGTGTGCCGGTCTCCCATGATATGCTGACCTTAATTCCTTCCTGTGTATATCAAAGAGTGCTATAGACAGTTCACAGAATAGCTCCATTTACAGCTTTTTTAGGAACTTCCATACTGATTTTCATAGTGGCTATACTAATTTACATTCCCATCAGCAGTGCAGAAGAGTTCATTTTTTCCCACAGCCTCGTCAACATTTGTTGTTTTTTATAATCTTGACGATAGCAATTCTGATTGTAGTGAGATGGAATCTCAATGAGTTTTGATTTGCATTTCCCAAAATTAAACTTATTTTATGGGGTTATTGTAGATTCACATGCAGTTGAAGGAAGTAATACAGACACATCACATTTACCCTTTCTACACTCTTCCCCTGTGGTTATAGCTTTTGAAACTCTAGTGTAATATCACAACCAGGATGTTGACATTGATGATATATGCAAATAATTTTCAAAGTCAACTAGAATAGTACAGAGAAAAAACTGGTGACAAAATGAACACCAGTGACCTGCCTTTCCCACAATTCTGCTACCTATAGTTTTCATTTTGACCTCTGTAAGTCTCATTGTGTGGCCCAGGCTGATCTCTAGCTTGTGCACTCAAGGGATCCTCTTGCCTCAGCCTTCTGAGTAGCTAGCTGGGTGATTATGATTCCAGGCATATGCCATCAAACCCAGCTTATTTTCCCCTCTTGTATCTGTTTCTCCTATGTTTTTTTCATGATTCTAAGTTAAAATGCTTGTAATGTTCTTTGTTGATTTTGATAGTAGGTGATAGTTATGCCGTTCTCTGTTTCTTTTCTATTTTCCCACTGTAATTGTATGCTTTACTTATTTATTTTACTGGGGATTGAACCCAGAGATGCTCTACCACTGACTATATGCCTAGTTTCTTTTATTTTGAGACAGGGTCTTGCTAAGTTACCCAGGCTGGGCTCAAATTTAAGATCCTCTATCCCCAGTCTCCAGTATAGCTGGAATTCCAGGTGCCTGCCATTATACCTGGCTTAGTATATGCCACAATTTTAATAAAATCAAGAGTAATTGTTTACATACTTATGTGCCCCACCCCGGGGGGGATCCAAATGAGGACCTTGCGCTTGCAAGACAGGCATGGTGCCACTGAGCTAAATCCCGAACCCTTGCTTTCAATTTTTCATTGTAGAGTTTAAGTGAGCCACTGTGAAATGATTAAATATATTAATCTTATCAAATCTATTTCTTGTTTTTTTCTGGAGTTAACCTAATTTTTTCATTTGCTTTTAGTTTTTTGTGTACCTATCTTTTTTGCTGTGTGCTTAATCAGACTTACTTTATACTGTCATTATTTTCCAAATGGTCAAAAATATTAATCAGATAATTATTTGGTTCCATTTTGTCCCTGGAGCCCTGATCTCAGAACTTTCTGTTCTTTGGCTCTGGTCTAAGCTGTAGCTGGTTATCCTCTGTGTCTGTTCCTCCTCTTTCATCATGCAGTTTCCTCTCTTTTCTGGTTGGATCTTGTTTTTGGGTCTCAGATTTTATTCTTTTTTCATTTGTATTGCATTTTGCTAAGCATAGATTTCTGTATTTGAAATAATTTTACTTTAGAATTTTTACAGCAATGCTATGAATAGTCTATTTTATTCCTCAGTACTTTTAACTAATCTGCTGTGGTTTTGTTTTTTCCTTCTTGACATTTTTATTCATTTATTTTTTGGTTTTTTGAGACAGGGTCTCACTATGTAGTTGAGACTGACCTGGAACTCACCATATAGCCCAGGCTGGTCTCGAACTCACAGCGATCCTCCTGCCTCAGACTCCCAAGTGCTGGGATTACAGGTGTGCACCACCATGCCCGGCCCTTCTTGACATTTTTAGATAATCTCCTTTTCAGTTTAAAAAATTGGGGGTGATAATGCTTTGGTGTGTATCCATTGTTTTGTTTTTTTCATTTTTTTATTTTTCTGGTACCAGGGATCAAACTTGGAACCTTGTGTTTGTAGGCAGGTGGCGGAAACACTGAGTTAAATCCCCAGCCCTGCATTGTTTTAATTTATGATGTTGGGTACTCTCTGAGACTGAGACTTTTGCTGAAGCTCTCTTCTGAGCCACACTGGAGTCGCCCTTGTTTGGTATAGACTCCTCTGTCTAGTGTATGCCTCCAGATTGTGCCTGCGCTCTCTGTGTAAAACATCCAAAGCTGCTTTGGCGTTTTGGGTATTTGTTATAGCAGCACTCACTCAACAGTGCATACCTCTGTCCCAGTGCATGTGGGCTTCCTCTAACTTTTCTGTAAGCAGTGTATCCTTACAAAAAGGCTGAACTACGGCCAGGGTGTGGCTCAGTTGTAGAGCACATGCTTAGTACACCTGAGGTTCTGGGTTCAATTCCAAGCCCAAAACAAAATGAAGTCAAGTGATGGGAGCCTTGTAGACCAGAAAATGCAGAACTCCAACATCCCACTCCAGTAGTGATCCATGCCCAGCTTTTACACTGAGAGTCATTTTATATATATTTGTAGACACACACACACACACACACACACACCCCTACCTACCCTATTTTATTTTGGTACTGGGGATTAACACAGGGCCTTTACACTGAGCTACATCCCCAGGGCTCCCTCCCTTTATTTTAAATTTTGCTAAGTTTTATGTACTAGCCTTGAACTCATGATCCTCCCAAACCACTGGGATTACTTTTGTATGCCACCATTGTACCCTTACTTTTTCTTAATTTTCCTTCTCTGTTTTATTTCCTTCAGGTCTCCAGGAAACCTGGAGAAGAATCGCTATGGGGATGTCCCTTGCCTGGACCAAACTCGAGTGAAGCTGGCAAAACGAAGTGGCCACACTCAGGTAGACAGATAGATTCAATCTTTTTTGGAGTACCGTGGGGAAGTAAACTTCTTCCAAAGTGAAATGTACTGATACTGTAATACAGTGGTTGTGAACCCATGGCATGTGTGCCACAGCAGCCACACAGAGCCTTCTCTCTTGGCTCATGAGCCAGGTTGCCCCAGCAGCCAAGAGTAAGAATAATAGCACATGTGTAGGGACCATGTGCATGCTTGGAAAGGAGTAGCAGCCCCAGGTGATGATGTCACAAACCAGGACTCATTAGCTGCAACTTGTCTGAGCTTTCACATGGCACTTGGCCTCTGAAAGGTTCACCATCACTACAATAGAATGGAAAAAGGACTTTGAGCCAGGAAAGTGAGGTTTGAGTACTGATTTTGTATGATTTATCCTAGACATCCAATAGTACTAAGTCACAAGTAAATAGAGGTAAACGATTGGACAGGGGGTGGATTGGGAATTGAATCCAGGGCTTTCACACTGAGCTGTGTCCATTTGCCATTTTTTAAATTTTGAGACAGTCTCACCATATTGCCCAGGTTGGCCTTAAACTTGGCATATTCCTGCCTCTCAGTCTTTCAGAGTACTGGGATCAGAGGCGTGTATAACTACACCTGACTTATAAAAGAAATTCTTTAGGTGAATGCCCACAGTACAAGGTCTGGTATATTGTGGATGCTTGGTAAATTTTAGGTTATTTCTGCTTTTCCTGCTTTGTTATAAAGGCATGATCACATGGTCCAGTTCAGTAATTTATATGCATGGGGACAAGGCAACTTTGATTAATTTTAAGTGACTGGTTTTTCCATCTATGAAAAAAATTGTGGACACCTATTAGATACATAAATTTGTAGGGATAGATATGAAACAGCCAGGTAACTATGTTATTTAAAGTAATATCAGTTTGGTACTTCTATACTGTTAAAAAAATGCATATGTGTTAATAGAGACATTTAGCAAAACTTTCACTCACTCTTCACATGCACTTATAATATCAGTGTCTCAGCCATCATTTGAACCACTTTTAAAATCAGTCTGACATGGTTTTGCTGTGGAAATCATCTTTATTTTCTTTTAATTATCACAGTATTGTCACTGGCAAGTATTCTAAATCAGAAAAACCTAGTAAGATATTAGGGAAGTTTTAAATTTTCATTCATGTTTCATCTCATGCATCTTCTATATCAAAATCATTTACTTATCCCTTTTAAAAATTCTCTTGAGCTAGGAATCTAGCTCAGTGGTTTCACCACCTCCCTTGCAAGTGCAAGGATCCGAGTTTGATCCCTGGTACTAAATAAATAAATAAATGAAAATTTTCTTGAAATATAACTTATTTCTATCACTTTCACATTTAGAATTTTGAGATGTGCAAGGTGTGGTGATGCACACTTTAAATTCCAGCACACACGTAGTCGAGGCAGGAGGATTGCAATGCAACCAGCCTGAACTACATAGTGAGACTCTGTCTCCAAAAAAAAAAAAGTAATAAAAGAATTTTGAAGTGACCATCTAAATAGGCAATTGCATTTCTTTCTTCATTTCTTGTTTGTTTGTTTGTTTTGTTTTGGTACCAGGGATCAAACTCAGATCCTTGCGCTTGCGAAGCAGGCACTGGAACCACTGAGCTAAATCCCCGGCCCCTTCATTTCTTTTCGGTATGCCAATTTTTTTTCTGTTGAACTTTAAGCATCAAAAAAGTATTGATTGAAAAAAAATGTATTGATTGAAATTTCTATTTCAAAGTAATGGAATTTAAATTTTGTCCCTATAACATGACACCCATTTGTTATATCCCCCTGCTCCTTCTCAGGGATGATTATGGAGAAATCCTTGTCTTGTATTTGACCATATATGATATGTGATTTGGTACCTTTAGATCATAGTTTTAATTTTTCTTGACCAAGGATGCTTTCAGAGTGTTTTCATGCAGAGTGTTAGCTCAACGCTCGACTCGGACCTGAGATTGTCATCCTATGTACCCTGAAAGATGGAATCCCCTCATTGTGTTGTGTTTATCTGTTTTGTTGAGTGTTCTTTGTCCACTCTGTAGAACTGTACCTGGCATGTAACGGACAGAAAATACATAAAGGAGGGAATCCATAGACCACGAAACTATTCTAGTTATTCTGTAGTTCATCTGAATATTTGTGCCTGTTTTGTGGTCTCCTTAGTACTGGCAAAGATTTTATTTCCCAAGTAAATGGAAGATTCAAGTTTTGTTTTGTTGTTTTTTGGTATTTGTTTGTTTGTTTGTTTTGAGACAGGGTCTCATGATGTAGTTGAGACTGATCTGGAACTCACTATGTAGCCTAGGCTGGTCTTGAACTCACAGTGATCCTCCTGCCTCAGCCTCCCAAGTGCTGGGATTACAGGCGTGCGCCACCACACCTGGCTGTTTTGTTTTGTTTTTTGGATATTAATTAGTTTCAGGGACAAAATACTCCAATGGTTATTTCTGCTTTTGGAATTATTCTTTCTCCCAGAACCATCACATTGCAGGGTAGGATTTCCACATAGGAGTTTGGGCAAAGGATACAAACAGTCTATAGCAGTGGTTTGCCCCCAGGCTGATACGTAGTCTCTGAGGCCATTTTCTGTTTTAATACATGATGATCCTTTGAAACTGCAGATGTAAATTGCTGTCAGACACAAGGGTTCTGAAAGCTGATATTCTTCTTGAATAGTAAGTCTCCATTATTTAATTAATTACTATTATTTTTTGTACTGGGGATCAAACTCGGGTCCTCGAACTTGCAAGGTAGGTGGTGGAACCACTGAGCTAAATCCCTGTCCCAGTCTCCTTTATTTTTTTCTTCGTCTTTTATTTTTTAATTTTTGGGGGTTTTTGTTTGTTTTTTGAGACAGGTCTCACTGTGTATAGTTCAGGCTGGTCTCGAATTCACTGTGTAGTTCAGGCTGGCCCCTAACTCTCTCCTATCCTTCTTCCTCAACCTCCTGAGTGCTGGGATTACAGACATGTGCCACCACACCTGGCTGTAAATCTCTTTTAAAGAGGTGACACTTCTGTTTCAAATATGGAGGTAGCTCTTGGGTTGACTGCTTCTACATTAGTTGTGTGACAGTGTTGATTCTTACAAGGAGCTCTTTTGTACTTTGCTGTACCCTCTCTGCTGGGTCCTTGAGGGTCTACATCTGCCTGGGCCAATGCTGAGAAGTGGCTATGTGGGCCTGGGCTGCCTGCAGGAGACCCTGGGCAGAGAACCCTGGTTGGATAGGTGAGCCCTAACTTGCTGGGTCTCCTGAGGTTGCCCAGCGGCTCAGTGATGTTGTCCATGCTAGGGTAGAGCACTGATGTTGTGAGGTCAGCACCAGCTGCTAGAGGAGAGTTGAGCATCAAAGTTATGGTTTGAATACATAGTGGGGTGCTAAGTCAGGAGATGGACTGGCTATCGGAGACATCTCAGCAACATAGCTTTGATCCCAAGGTAGAGCTGTCTTAAGGGCAGGGACTGGGCACTGACAGTTCTGCCACTGGGTCCCAGGACCCTCTAGAGAAAGGTAGCTGGATGAGGAAGGATGTGTCCAACTTGTGCAGAGTGGAGTAAAATAATGGCTTTTCCCTGGGGTTGCTGTATACTTTTTTTTTTTTTTTTTTAAGACAGGGTCTATAGAGACTTCTTGTCTCTTGTTCGGTGCCCCTCCACACCCTCTTCAGTCATGCCTCTGATTCATTCCATTCTCAACTATTCACACTGAGACTTGAAGCTCTACCTCTGCTCTTGTTTCTTTCTTGGTCAGCTGAGACTCAAAGATATTGGCCAAGGGCCAGAGATTTAGCTCAGTGGTGCCATGCTTGATCGCTTGATGCTGAGTTCGATACCCAGCACCCCCCCAAAAAAAAGGATATTGGCGGAAATCTTGCAAATTTAATGAGAATGATATTAAGTAAATGAGACTAAGGACATGGGGAGGGGAAAGAAGATCCTGCAAGAGATCTGCTCACCCGGCCTCCCTGAGCTGACAGTAAGCCCTATGTGAGTTCAGGCAGCAGTGGAAGCTGGACACCAGCCTGCTCTGCTTCTTCCTGACAGCAGCAGCCCATCTTCTGTGAACCATGGGATGGATGGGCGCTCCTGCCCAGGCTGTGGGTCCACCTCCTTTGGTCCTGTGTGATATTGCTACAAGCTCTGATAGATTTTTGTTATTTAAAATAACAGGGCCTGGGATTTAGCTCAGTAGTTCTGAAGCCTGCCTCGAAAGCATAAGGTCCCAAGTTCTATCCCTGGTACCAATTAAAAATAATAACAATAACAGCTTTATTGAGATATAATTCACATGCCATACAGTCCATTCATTTAAAGTGCACAAGTCAGTGAATTTTAATATATTCACAGTTTTGCAGCTATTACCACAGTTGACTTCAGAATATTCTTATCCTGTACTCTTGGCCATTACTCCCATTTCCCTCTAACCCACCCTAATCTGTTTTTTGTTTGTTTGTGTGTTTCCCTTTGAGGTGCTGGAAATCAAGCCCCAGGGCCTTGCACATATTAGGCGAGTGCTCTACTGTTGAGCTGCATCTCTGGCTCCTCTGATTTCTCTCTCTGGATTTCCATGGATGGAATAATAATACATTCATGGTGTGACAAATGTCAGCACCTCCTCACTCCATGATATTGCCAAAGGATCCATGTATGGATATACCATGTGTTATTCATGCTTTCCTTGAAGGACTTGGAATTAGTTCCATTTTTAGGCTGTCATGAACAATACTGCCATAAATATTGGTGTACGTAGTCTTAGTACTTTTCCTTGGCAGTGGGACTGCTGGATCATACAGTAATCCTCTTTAATCTTTGGAGGAACTGCTCTTTCTAAAGGGACTGTATTTTACATTCCCAGTAGTGTGCATGAGGGTTCTGATTGTTCCACATCCTTGTTGACACTTGTTATCTTTTTTTCCTACCTGTAGATATCCCTAGAGAGTTTGAAGTGGTGTCTCTTGTAGTTTTATGTGTTTCCCTGGTGTTGAATAATGTTACTTATTTTTTTGTGTGTGTGCTTTCTTTTTTTTTTCCCCCTTTTGATTTTTTGAGACAGGGTCTCACTATGTAGTTGAGACTGACCTGAAACACTATATAGCCTAGGCTGGTCTCGAACTCACAGTGATCCTCCTGCCTCAGCCTCCCTGGTGCTGGGATTATAGGCGTGCACCACCACACCCAGCTTTTGTGTGCTTTTGGCCATCTCTAAATCTATTGAAAAATGTTGTGTTATTTCTATACTCTAGGTACAAGTTTCTTATCAAATAATGCATTTTTTCCGCCTGTAATCCCAGCACTCTGGAGGCCGAGGCAGGAGGGTCGCTGTGAGTTCGAGACCAGCTTGGGCTACATAGTGAGACCCTGTCTCAAAAAACCAAAAAAAAAATGTATTTTGTGGATTGATTTTTCACTTATTTGATAGTGTCCCTTGAAACAAAAGTTTTTATTTAAAAAAAAAATAAGGCCAGGGACTTAGCTCAATGGTTCTGTGCCTGCCTTGTGCGCGCAAGGTCCTGAGTTCCATCCCTGGTGCCGGAAAACAAAAACAAACAAACAACAATAAAAAACAAAAAAAAATTTTGGTACTAGGAATTGAACCCAGGACTACCGCACTGAGCTACAATCCCTAGCCCTTATTTATTTGTTTGTTGTGGTTTTTTTTTTTTTTTTTACCAAGGAT